CAAGAAGCACGTGCTTCAATCTGGTCGTGAGACCCATTTGCGGGCTGGTCCGGAGTCGAAGGGTGTGCGCCCTGAGCAGTAGCCTCATGAAGACACTGCTGGACAAGAGCCGCCTCAAGAGCGTCAACAGCGTTACGATTGGCAAGATCACCGATAGCATGGATATTGACCTGGTATCCGTCAGCTGCCCAGCGCTTGGTCACATCGGTAAGAGCAGAGGCGTTGATAAGGAGCGAGCCTGATGTCCACGGGTGATCGGAGTACGGTTCGAGCATGGCGCTGCCCCAGCTTCCGAGAGCGCCGTCTATCTGAGGTTAATCACTACCTTTGATAATTTTGATGGAGACACGTACCCGCAAATAGCTTTACACTCTGAACTGCAAAGCGATCATCGTCTCGGGCGAACTTGACAGCTTCCTCTGGGCAGTACGAGTTACGCTGAGGACATTCCAACATTGCGTAGACACGAAGGGTCCAGTCGTCCCCCGAAGAGAGCTCGTTATAGAGATTTAAGGTATCTGGAGTTGCTCCAGCATCGTGCATGCCAACAAGACCAACCTCGTTAAGGCGCTTCATGGCGGTCTTGACTGTACGAGCCTTGAAGTCCCGGCCAGGCTGAGGCCAAATTGAGATGACCAAGTCCATGGCGTTATCGCAAAAGACACCGAGGCCAGGGTCGCGGATGATCTCACCTCCCGGGACAGTTTCAGGGAGGTTTGAAGGAAGGAGATCGAGAACAGGCTTGGAAACCCAAGTGCAGTGAACATCAATGCGATCAAGCATGAGATAGATGCCGCTGAGCTCTGTATCCTGCGTGATATCTGCCTATGGAACTTCTTAGTGTGTGACGGGAAGCTGAGAGATATGAGTATCTTACAGCTGTAGGCATACGCCCAAAAAAGGTCTGATCCCATCCAACTCCGCGAACCCAATTATCTTTCGATCCGGCACCAGGGTTGGCAGAGATATAGTCTTTAATCCTCGCACGCGCCTCCGCGAGAGATTGGGCACCAAACAAGTCAACAGAGTGGAGGAACTCTCCGTACTGGAGCAAGTGACCATGTCCATCCCAGAGTCCTGGAATCACATAACCATCTATCGTGGGCTGGTCAGCGTCTCGTGGACCAACAGCAGTAAAGACACCATCCGCAACAGTAAAACATTGAGCTTCAGCCTGATCAGGATCATGAGTTCGGATGGAATTATAACAATATGTTGCTGATTCTCCCTCGTCCGAAGCTGTGAGTGGCTGTTGAAGACGATACGCAACAGCAAAAGCGACAACTATGAGGGGCAGGACGAGTCCCCATCTGACCAAAGAGGCTGTGACAGCCATCGTCTAACGCGTGACTTATAACTGAACTGCTACTCCTGAAGTAAGTAACAGAGCCTAGTTTTGTAAAGGCATTTGGATCTTTTTGAAGATGGCGATGTTGGGGTGATGTGGGAGACATGATTTGATATGATAGCTGCATGTTATCGATAAGAATTTCATTGATCTTTGTGGGGGAAGCTGCATTAATACGCAGAAAGAGGTTTTCTTCTTAAAGTTTGATTTAGGTGTAGTAGTACGTATCATAGAAAAGAAAAGATTAGGTATGTCTCTATAAGATACATTCATAGAATTATCGCATACAAATGTGCCTTGCTTCCATTTAAATGTATGGAAAAGATTTGTGTCAGCGAGGGATCCTTGCCTAATTGCATCCCAATCGTGAGCTTACCCCAGAGTCCTAGCTCTCCACACTAATTCGTACCTTAATTGAATCACCACACAGATTCTCCCCAGCGCTGATTGATTGCACAAATGTTGACCTATGTGATATACTTCTAAGGATACGTAAGTGCTGCGAATAGCAGCTCTATCGTTCGCTCTCAAACACCAAACTCAACTGGTCTCCAAACAATAGGAGATAGACACTTGGTGTGACTGTTTGTGATGACTTGCAATAACTACTGGCTGAATACGGCAAACAAGACGCTGCCGTGGCTGTTACACTGAATACCTAGGTAGGTAGGTAGCCTACCTATATCTATATGTTTAGATGCTTACCTGGAGCTGTCTATATAACCAATCACACGGCACTGGCCGACTTAATCCGACAGTGTCAGATTGACTTTCTTTAGGAAGCTTCCCATCCACCTTTAACACATCAGCAACAACAGTAACGATAACTGTCATCTTTGAAATCTCGCCATCTATGAACAAGAAAAGACTAAACCCCAAAAATGGCTCTATCGCGAGCTGAACTCGAGTCCATCGTGGCTGTTCATGTTCGAGAGCCCCTTGCAGCCGACACCCTCACAGCCGCTTTCAAATCCAAACCCTTCATCCCTATTGAATCGATCATCAACCTCCGCGATCTAGGTGCCGTTCCTGGCAGTGCCATACGCCCTGGGTATATCTTCCGTTCTGGTATGCTTGACGCCGCCGCCGCCGCCGACCCAGAAGCTATGGCCTGGCTCACTGCCAACGTCAAGACTGTCTTTGATCTTCGCAGCAAGGAAGAGCGAGCTACGTACCCCAGTCCCAAGATAAGCGGCGTCAAGTCTGTCTTCTGCGAGCGTGTTGCTGAATACCCCCAGCCTAGTCCCGCTGACTTTGCTATTGATGATGGCAGAACTGCTTGGAGGAAGCAGTTGATGGCTGTCATAGCGGCGTACAAGCCCTCTATCCGAGCAGTCCTCGAACACGTGAGAGACAACCCGAACGAGCCCTTTCTCTTTCACTGCACTGGTAGGAAAACCACGTTTCTGTCCAAAGGGTGTGAAACTAATCGTAAAACTGAGCTATAGCTGGCCGTGACCGCACGGGCGTCATGGCAGGGCTCCTGCAGACCCTTGCCGGCACAAAGCAACAAGACGTCATCTTCGATTACATGCTATCACGGATTGGTATCGAGCCAGCTCGCGAGCGTCTACTCTTGTTCATCTTGGCAAACATTGATGTGAAGAGCACTGAGGAGCCTGGCTTTTGGAACATGGTCAGCCTACGCCCGAGCTTTTGGGAGGCTTTTGGTCAAGGTGTCAAAGCCGAGTATGGAGGATGGGACGGCTACGTGAAGGGCCTTGGGTTCTCAACCAAGGATCTGGAAACCATCAAGAAGAACTTGCAGGCTTAACGATGTCATGGCCGGATGCTATCCCCTGAAGGCAGGGCAGTACAGTATCGGAAATGGTTAAAGTTGGCTAAAATGAGGTTTATCGCTGTACAATTTTACTATCTCCATTGCGTCTGGGTAGGATACGTTGAAATAACCATAGCGCGATCTAAGGGACTTGAGGAAGCAATGGATCGAATGGAAGTTGGAAATGTTGGATATTCTCTTCTAGGTAATCCATTCATGGTTGATCTTCTTGCCCATCATCATCATCATCATCATCATCATCATCATCATCATCATCATTTCATCCCAATATCTCACTTAAGGGGACAAGAAATGATGAGTCCTATTAATAGACGCAATGGTAGCCCAACTTTAACACACTCATCGTCACTCAACTTTGTAAAGCCAGTCATTTATGTAAGACCGAGTATCCTACCTAATTCATCTGCAGCCCTATGACATCACCTCCACTGCTGGGGGCCCTGTCTGGGAACCCGTTGGACCCTGCATCTTGAGCAAGGGTCTAGTGCCCGCGTACCAATTAAACTGCATGGCATCCCATCTAGTGACGTTTCAGTACATCTTTAAAACGTCAATTCCGCCACTGTCCTGTAGACCCAACAGCCGATTCGTTCGTTCGCTCCCATCGTGATCTAAGCTGTATTTCCAAGTTTTGCTTCTCATCAAGGGGGCCTTTGGGCCATTCCATCTTTCAGGGTCCAACCAAGTTAGAGATACTGTAGTCAATAGTGGTGGTATCAACTCTTTTGGATCTGCAGACAACGAGATCTGCTGACCAGGTTTCCCTGACTAAGGTACCTACGTATTTCATCAATGATCGTAATAGGTGATGCAATGATTCTTGTCCAAGCATGGTTCCTTGCTCCAGTACGTTATGTTGCGCAACTAGGTAGGTATCCGAAAGTATATATAATATCTCGTTGCAACCATTCCTCAATATCGTTATCAGAATCATCAATACAACAACCCCACAAAAGCACAAACATTAGCACAGACAGTCACATACACACACACTATTGACTTCCCCTCCAATCTACCATTCAATAAACCACCCAATATGCCTCTCACACGAACTCACCGTCACACCGCTCCCCGTCGCTCCATCTTCAGCACCCGCCGCCGTGCTCCGGCCCATTCTCATCGTCATACAACAACCACCACAACCACAACCACAAAGCCCCGTCGCCGCGGCATGTTCAGCGGCGGTGCTAGTCGACGAACGCATGCTACAACCACTGCACCTGTTCATCACCACCAGCGTCGACCTTCCATGAAGGACAAGGTCAGTGGTGCCCTCCTCAAGCTCAAGGGTAGTTTGACTCGCCGACCCGGCGTCAAGGTATGTTCATTCTAACTGCTCTCGGGTCAACGGTATACTAACGTCATTAAGGCTGCTGGCACTCGACGCATGCGCGGCACTGATGGTCGTGGTGCACGCCACCACCGCTATTAAACTCCCCAAGTAACTTGTTAGTTATGTCAAGCGGTTCTCAAGTAGACCGAGGATACAGGAAATTCCGGAAGTCGAACGGAGTATGGAATAACGGACATTGAACTTATACACAAACATGTACGATTATGATAGCGTTGATACCCTTTACTGGGAGTTGAGGATAATAGTATGATTTGTTATACGGCTATAAACAAGCATGAGCTTGTACTGCCACTGCCAGTGACTTTATCTATGACAATCTCGCAGCTCGTCATAACCATATAGCCTTCCGGCTTTCTTCTAGTATCAGAACGGTTGCTGTTGTTTCTGCCCCTTAGTTGACTACAAATTATGCGCGTATTCCCATAGGCTTCCATCACCTGCGATGATTTCAGATTAATGCAAAGGTTCACGGACTGTCGCAGTGTTCCCAAGACCTGTCAATGTAGCTCGTCCACATCAGAAGGGGAAACACCAGCTGGACGATAAGGGGGCATCAACCGAATATCCTTGTGCAACTTGACCGAATTTTGTAGCACGTAAGGGCCTCGTACCAATTGGAGCATCGATGTTGAGGAGCCTCGGCGGTGGTGAACTTTCCCGCACATTGGATCAACCAGCTCGTCAATATTCGTGACCGACAAACGAGCTAAGCTCAATCTCTTCCTTTCACATGCCCTCAGGGAAGGGCTTGCGTCCATAGATTCCATTATAAGCTCATCCATGTCGTACTTGACAGGCTCAGAGACACGACCATGAGTATACTGCTGGAATTGGAGCTCCAACTTCTCTAGAGCTTCTTTGCTGGGCGACGGGTGTTTCTTCGTCCTGCTAGAGGTATGCAAGTCTCTCTTCGCTTTATCCGAAACTTGTCGAGCTTGAGTGATCGAATTAGCCAACACATCGCCAACAGGTTCCAAAAGCTTATGGCCGAAAAAGTGGTGTTGCCCGATTTCTTTTCGGCCAGTCGTCGATAAAGATCCCGGTCTCTCATTAAAATGAGTTTCTGGTATGTGCATATCGCTGTCCACGGAGCAGGAACCACTGCTCGACGTTGATGGGCGCTCGACTAGAATCCGAGGGGTTGAAGATCCGACTGGTGTACTGTTCAAGAACCTATCTTCAATGTTGTCGTCGAATCCCTTCTCGGATTCGAATGGATTGTATAGCGAAGGGGGAGGCGTCTTTGGATCATCGTGAGAACCTTGATTCAGCCGGTTGTCGAAACATGTTAGAGCTCGCCTATCAGCTCGTTCAGAGAACGGATCCTCCACAAGTTTTCCATTTCTGAGGGACTTTCCATCGTCTGCTAATGGCTTTCTGTTAACGCGACCTCCAACAATTTGCTGGACTTTACTTTTATTGAGGTTATCCCCTTCATTCAAGCGGAGCTCAATGTTGCTGATCGGAGAAGCGTTCTCAGTTGATGCATGTGAGCGAGGAGTAGGAACAAGGCTCCCTCGACTCCACCCATCACCTTGTTCATCGCCTAAGTGGGAGAAGGCCCGGGCCTGTGTTTCTTCGTGATTCACGGCTTTTGGATGGAAGCGATCCCAAGCATTCGAGACTTTTGCACGCACTTTCGACGGCACCATACGCGTGAATCTTGAGGTCGAGCAGTTGGCTTGTTGTGGCAAAGGCTTGAGTGCATTGGTAGCCGCCAGCATAGCGGCCAGTTTCCCACTAATTTCTTCACCAGCACACCGGTCTTGTATGCGAGGAATCTGGCATCCTTCTGCAACTCGATTTCTTGCATTATTGTCACAGGTTTCGAGCGCCACAGATGTCGCCAGTGCGAAGTCTTTGGTAGGGTGAAACTTGAGGGGGTCATAAGACAGCGATCTCGTAGGCACATGGCGGCGTTGTAAGCTTGTACTTGGTCGCTTCTGTGATGTATCCCTGTGTCTACCAGTCGTGGCAGCTCGTCTAGGAACTATTCCCACGGCTTTCGATGGCGAGTGCTTGCCCATGCGGGAGGCCCGAGGGCGAGTATCCAAAGACCTGAGTGGTGTTTTGATAGGTGACGGGAAATCCAGTGGCGGGATAGCTTGGTTGCCATCAATCGAGACCGAGTTTCTCGGTGTAGTGGTCCGGCGCTTTTTTGGAGACAAGTCTTCGCCTTCATTGGAGAGGCGCTCTGGTGTGGAATCGTCTAGTAGCCAGCTTGCCATTTCATCCGCAGTTTGCGGATCAACCATTGCTCTCTTCCGGGATGCTTGCTTGGAGGAATTGTTTACATGGAACTCTGCTTTCGAAAGAGTTAGAAATTTATCAAGGAAGACATGTGGGATAACATACGCAGCCGATCAGGTAGTAAAGGTTTTGGTATGGCTCTTTGGCGACGTGTTCCCAGCGCCCTCAGGATACTTCTATTTCTCTTCTTTCCGTATGTGATGGCAGTTGGCATCGTTGGTACTTGCTGTGATTAGAGTGTAGCGAGTGAGTGAGAAGAAGCGAATCAATGGCTCTATCCAGCGGTGATGAGCTGGAAAATTGGCTGTTATCAACCCAGACCATCCGTTGAGTGTGAAGAGAAGCCGAATGATATGCAAGCGAACAATGATGGGCGCATGCGGTTGGCAGTTTGTCGAAATAGGGTCAGAATCCTTTATCTGCAGTATGTCACTCGAACACCTTCATTTTTCTGCCAAAATGGATCGCCAGGCCCAAGTACAGGAACTTGATCGAGAAATGAGGTTGCAAGAGTTTGAGTGTAAGAGCTGAAAAACGAGTGAGTGAGTGGACGACCCGGTAAAGAATGAAAGAGGAAGGTTCACTTCATATGTATGTACCATGCCTAAGTTGGTCCCTTGCTTTACGTACATATGCCGGCAAATGAGGTGAGGTTGGAATTGCAGGAAGATAGGTACCTTTGGTCAGGATACATAGGAGCTATGTACTTAGAAAAGAGTTGAGAAAGAACGTTAGGTTAGTGAGATAATATAGTAGATACCGACCGAGAGTCGATATCACTGCCAAGCAGTGCTCGCAACAGTTGCCCTTGGTTTCAGGCAACTAACGTCCTTGTATTGGACACTGAGCTGACCTATGCCTAAGGTAAGCAGGTGGTATGCAGGTGTTTTTGTATGTCAATGTGGAGATCGTGATTCGAGGAGGAATTCCCGTGATACCTCTATGAGTAGGTAGTCGACGAGAGTAAAACCACGCTCCCTCCATATTTGTGAGCAGCCACTTGCAGCACCATCACACAATGGCCGTCATACGCCAAGATGCATAGTACTATGACGCCTCTTCGCTCTTTCCCGAACAGAGTTCAATATGAAGGCTATCGTGCAATGTTGCACTGCAGATTATGTCCTGGATGCGATTTGACGATTAGTACTAACTCAGAACCATGCTACCCCTGACTTACATCAAGCGACTTGGAAGGCGAGAAGTGTTTAATAACAACACGATATTTCCATCATGGAACCGAGAAGACGAAGCCTTCAAGACATAAAAGGCTTACAGACTCAATTTTAGCTTGTTCATAAGTGTCCAAAGAAGTCAATTACTGAATTATTCTTAGTTGTACATTATATTCACCAACCACTTTAGTATCCTACCGATGATAGCACAGTATAGCCGCATACTCAGACAAGGAAATCATAAAAAGACAACCGCAGCTTCAGAATTAGGCAATCATAGCTTGAGACAGTTCCCGTTCTTCTGCTCGTACAACTTGGTAACCTCATCCTGAAAACTGGCCCGAGACTTGGGGGCTCAGACGATGTACTCGAGTTCATGGAGCTTCGCAAAGTCTCTGAAGGCTTTATTCATCCGAAACACTGTTTCAAAACGAGTCACTTGCTTTGCAGATTGGAGGATGGCTGTAGTGAGATGATTTCAGTTGTTGCTCGCTGCCTACGTACTACCTAGGTACATTGGTGACGAGGAAGCACGTGATACCACAGCCACGAACGCGACTTGTGGCTGAACCTTTTTGTCTTGATCGTGGCGCATTTTCGCATCATCGTCGCCTCGCCGAACTACCAGAAATTTCTCTCGAACGACGGCGGGTCTACCACGCGAGATCGGGAGTAAACGGCAAGATAACCTGATTACGGTTTGCAATTCCATTATCAAGAATCACGATGTTCTGATTATGAATCTGGCTGGTTTCCCGCATCTTATAATTCCTTGAATCCAACACATTAAATCCGAAAGCTCCGACCAGTTACGATTAATTATCGCGCCTCTCATCCGTTTCGACCGACCACGAAGTTTCTCAACCACGTTCTCTTCGACTGTAAACCTACGACTCAGGAGGGCATTGGATTTTGCGGCTAAAGCGACCTCATTCGATAATCATGTTAAGACAACCTGTTCGCGGCGTGCGTGCGCCTTTGCGAGCCTTCAGCCAACCAGCTCAACAGGCAGCCTGGAATGGCGCATGGAGGAGACTCTTTACATCACAGTCGCAAAATAAGACCGCGCGTCAGCTTTTGAGATGGAAGGCCGTCCCTTGGGATAGTATGATGGCCAGACTGAGGAGCGCTCGCTTCGGTATCGGTTCTGCAACAACGCCAGGCATGCTCCAAGGCGTTTTAAGGCGTGGCTTTCGATTTACCACAAAGCGCAAGACAAACAAGAAGCCGACCGTTGGCGAAGCCGAGGAACCAAAAGGCCTCACCGCCAAACTCAAGAAGCTTACAAAGGAATACGGCTGGGTGACCGTTGGCGTTTACCTCGGGCTGACCGTTCTCGACTTCCCATTCTGCTTTCTGTTTGTTAGAATGGTCGGTGCTGATAAAATCGGTAAGATATTGCCGCGGCCTCACCTAGATCCGTCAACGAGGCCATGCGGTCCTTTATTCTCAGTGGGTTGCTAACTGATGCCGCCGGCGCTATTTAGGCGAGGTCGAACATCGTGTGATGTCGTCAATCAAGCAGATGATCCCCGATACTGTTCGGGAGGCCTGGCACACCTACTGGCAATCGTTTAAGAAGGCTGAGGCGAGAGCACTTGGCGATGACGATATCAGTGACAAGATGGAGATGGCCACATGGGGTGTCGAGAAGGCCGAGGAACGCAATCGTACAGATGCTAGTGAGTACTACCATTAGATTTTGCCCCTGGGCGCATGCATTAGGTGCTTCCCATCGCCCCTAACAGCTCGTGATGTGGGCAGCAGAGTGCGCTTGCGGAGTTGGTGAGAAAGGCTAACGACTCAATCTGCGACAGGTTTAGCAACTCAGCTGGCGCTGGCGTACGCCATTCACAAGAGCTTCATCTTCATCCGAGTGCCATTAACGGCCGCCCTAACACCCAAGGTCGTCAAGATCCTTCGATCATGGGGCTATCAGATCGGAAAGAAGAAGGCTTAGCTGGTCAAAGATGGCATCATAACGGTTCGAGACTGGAAACTCACAAGCCTCCAAACGCAGAAACGCTGTTTATGAAACGCTTGGCTTGGAGTGTAAGCCACTTAGACGGTATTTGTATAATTAGTGTAGTCAGTCCTTGGTGTTGGCTGGAATTATTGATGGATAGACTTGATTGTATAGTACAACTCCTTAACTCTGAAGCACACATCTGGGCATTTGTTTCCTGTGGCTGAATCACACGGGATGAAACATCTGGGCCGCAGACAGATCCAGCAAAATCGGCTGCACCGAGCCAGTGATCAGCCAACAGAATGGCTGTAGTTGGAAGCGTATTCAGGAACCGGCTTCGGATGGCCTAAGCCATTGAACTCTAACATGGAGGCGTCGAATAGGAGTGACCTGAATGGCACAATAGGAAACAGACGTGAAGAAGCCCAGACTTTCAATAATGGCCGTAAGAAGCTTGGCATGCCTCTCGTCCAGAGGAGGATAGTGCGCCGATAGATCTGCAACCGCAACGTTTTGAACAACGCCATGTGCTCCCATGGGGCGTTGTTTGAGATTATCTCGAGATGGCGGCGGCTAACTTGGAACTTTAGAATGGGCCTCGAAACGCCAAGAAGGTCACCAAGCAGCGAGCGGGGCGTCAATTGTGGACAAGAGGAAGAAGAAGGCGACTAGAAGTTCTGGAAGAGCCGTCAGTTGTGGATTTGGCAACCAGTCTCAACCGTGTTTGACCCACGGCGTTACGACTCAGGCTCAAGAGTCAGTTTGCTGATTGACTTTGATTTGCCCTGGCCGATGTCATAGCAAAGACCGAGCGAGTCGCGAAAGGATCCTCATGATTTCGGGGATCTGTAAAAGACTGGAAAGAAACCCGTTCGGAGGAAGTGGAGATCATCGTTGGTGCGAAAGTAAAAAGATCCTATTGCCTCTGAATATCCAGAACTGGAGCTAGTCCCGGGCGCTCATGTTTCCGTTGAATCCATGCGTGACAGGTCAAGAAAGTCAGGGTTCAAAATCAAGGTTCAGGTAACGTTGACCCCCCTGCAGTAATTAAAGAATTGGGGCGGGCTTTAGTGAGCGGGAATAACGGCTAGTTAAGTTGGCGATTGTTTCAAGTGCCTGACTCTTAGCGGTGGGAACTTACCAGGGTTGGTTTTGTTCCGCGGTTTTCGATAAGGTGGGCAGGTGGGCTTGCTTGATGATATGCATGCATGGAGGAGCATTGTCCACCTTGTGACTTTGGAGTTTGGAGAGAAACCTGCCAGCCTTTTACAGGCTCACTCCCTCGGATTCCTGAATTTCCCATAGTACATCACCTTCCATGATGGGACACATGGATAGATGTAAGGTACCTACCTAAGGTAATGTGCATAAGGTACCTACATAATCGGCGCTAAACAGCGGCTCCGAGAAGTGGGCTTGATACATTAGTAGTGTGATCCGCTGTTGGCCTTGCAATGGATGTTTAGACGCACGCGAGATGTCATTCACCGTTCTCGTTCTCGTGATTCAACCCTTTGATTTGGGGTTTTTGGTGTTTTCGCCCCTACTTATTTTCTTCTCTTCTCTCTTTCTTTTTTTTGTGTTTTTCTTTTTCTTAGTCTAAGCCCTGAAACTCGGACCGTTGAGGCATACATACTATACACTTATTGTGATGGCCTAAAACGGCAATCAATTCGCCGTCAGTAAGACAAATTAGCTGTCTACCATAAGAGAACAGCCAAAATCAAATAAAAGCCCAGATGCCCAGGCACGGATAGATGGCAATCAACCATATGCCTGCGATTGCCCGTGCAAGGGATCCCTGCAATGATCAACCCAACGGCTCAAACAAAACGTGGAGCATCCAGTTCACGTACTACGT